ATGGGGGGTCTGGAGGAGCAGGCAGGGGATGAGGCCTGGTAGGGGTCTCCCCATGGTCCCCCCTCCAACCTCCCCCACCCCTACTTACCAGCTCAGAATCCGAGTCCAGCTCCCTGATGCAGCAGGCGAGGACTGCCCAAATCACCAAAGTTCTCCTAATCGATTCAGAGAGCTTTGAATTGATTCGGACCTTTTAATTGTTCCCCTGATTCGATTCTGATTCAGAGATCTGGCCACTGAATTGAGCTAAATCTTATCCAAACTGAATCAGCACCCAAAGCTTCGCACAGCTCTAATATTTAACATATTGAAACCAGCCACAAAAATGTTTTACAAATGGTAAGAGTGATAATGTAGTGCAAACACAGAGAGTTAAACTACAGTAAAAACAAGCAATATAAACATCCTTTATTAAGATCTTATCATTAATTTTGTCAGAGACAGAAACTGAAGGAAGTCTCTTGGGAAGCACCATGCCACTCAATCATATAATGTACTGGATTCATGGTAAAACGGACTACAGCCAGGGATGCTGGACTACAAATGGAGTGTGTTTGTTTTCCAAACTACAGCTCCCATTAGGGAAATATACTTGGTGAGGAATTAGAGGTCTTTAGAAAAGAACAAGTGGAACTTGTCCTCCAAAAGCAACTTCTAGGAGGTAGTGTGAAACAGTAAGGATACATCGATGGTAAAAGGTTATCGTTCACGTTCTTTACATTGGCTGCAAGCTTGTTTGGTAACCCTCCCATAAAAACAGATTTCTTCCTCCACACACTGCTATGTGAAGTTTACACAAGTTTATCCTGCAAAAATTATAGCCTTACTTCTAATTTAGCAATAAATATTAACTTTGCTCTAAACAGATTCATATGCATTCTCAGCTTATAGGCAAATTTATCTAGCAACTAAAATATATATAAAAGAACTGCTTTTGCTATTTCAGTTAGAAGTATACATTGTAACCAAATGCATTTAACACAGAACATTTTCCATACACAGGAAACCTTCACTATTCGCAAACTCCAGATTCGCAGATTCAAATATTTGCGGGGGAGGACAGAGCCGGGAGGCGGGCAGAGAGCGAGTGCCGGGGACGTGGACGATGGCGGCGGCAGCATCTTCTCCCCTGGCGGCTGCCCTGGCATCGCTCGGGGGGGGAAGGGTCAGTCCCTGGGCACTGTGGGGGAGACCTGGGGACAGGGAGGGTGGTGGTGATGGCATCTACTCTGCCGCTGCTGCCTCCAGCAGCACTTGGGGGGGATGGCACTTGGGGGGGAAGGGGTCGGTCCTCAGGTGCTGCAGGGGAGCCGGGGCGGCTGTGGGGTCTGACAGGGAGCCCCGTCAGTACGCGCAGATTTCACCATTCACGGGGATCTCCGGAACGTATCACCCACAAATGGCGAGGGTCTCCTGTAACCAATCGTGGGCGACTGGTGCCTCCTGACTCTGGTAATAATAGAGTGAAATTAAGAGAAGTATGGCAAAGGAGAAGAGATGATGCCAGCAGAAATCTGAAATGAGATAAAATAACTAGTAAGAGAGGTACAGCAAGATTGTGCTAGTTATTACAAGCCTCCAAGGGGGAGAAAAAAAATCATACTCGATGATGAAAGCATATGGGATCACAGAATCATAGAAAATTAGGGTTGGAAGGCACAGAGGTCACCTAGTCCAACCCGCCTACTCAAAGAAGGGCCATTCCCAGCTAGATCATCCCAGCCAAGGCTTTGTTTAGCGGGGTCTTACAAACCTCCACAGATAGACATTCAACAACCTCTCTGGGTAGCCTGTCCCAGTGCTTTATTACCTTCCTACTGAGAAAGTTTTTCTTAATATCTAACCTAAACGTCCTTTGCTGCAACTTGAGACCATTACTCCTTGTCCTGTTGTCTGCCACCACTGAGAATAGTCTAGCCCCATCCTCTTTGGACCTACCCTTCAGGTAGTTTAAGGCTACTATAACCCCTGCTGGCTTCCTGCCCCTGGGGCAGGGGACTGGACTCAATGATCTTCCGAGGTCCCTTCCAGCCCTAATGTCTATGAAATCCCCCCACCTTAGTCTTCTCTTCTCCAGACTAAATAAACCCAGTTCCCTTAGCCTCTCCTCATAGGAGGAATATCAGAAATCAGCTCTAATGTTAAATCAGATGTTATTTGAGATAGTGAGGTTCAATTTCTTTCTGGAACCCATAGCAGGGAAGGGGAGGGAAGAAGTATGGCGGGGCAGATCAAGGCCCCTGTGGTGAGGGAGGGAGTGGGGCTGGGGTAGGCGCTGCCCAGCTGGGTTAGGGCATGGGACGGAGCTGTGGCTTGTCTGGGGGGCATGCTGGGGGGTGGCTCCCACTGCTCCGCACACCCCGGGAGGGCATGAGGTGAGGGGGCATGTGCCCCTCAGATCTACGCAAGGCAGGGCAGGCTGCTGCTGTGGGTTGGGGCCAGAGCTGCACAGGGCTCTTCCCAGCAGGGACTGGGCCAGGCTGCACTTAAGGTGGGTGGCGGTGGCACTGGGAAAGGAGTTGGGGGGTGGGGAATGAAGCCACCCAAAAATTTGCCGTAGCTCCCCCCATCGCGCCCCCTCCAAGCACCACCACCACCCACCCTAAGCACAGCCTGACCCAGCCCCCCTCCATGCACCGGGAAGAGCCCAGCCCCCGCCTATAGCTGCAGCCCACCCTGCCCAAGCCTCACACAGATCTGGGGGCACACGCCCCTCCAAACCCTCCCAGGGTGTGCAGCGGTGGGAGCCACCCCTCCCTGGACAAGCTATGGTTCCAACCTGCACCTGCCCCAGCCTCAGCTCCTTCCCACTCCCTCCCCCACCATGGAAGCCTTGATCTGGACCCCATGCCCCTTCCCTCACAACAGATTTACCAGCCGGACCTGGCTACTCTCCACACTGCCAAGCTGTGTTCCTCGCTACCTAAGTGCTGTGCTGTGGCTATGTGCAATTACAGGCATTTAATCGGCCACATCAGGCTGATTTCCGATGCACTCAATTTTCTTTATATCGGTGCCAATTTGATATCAGACCAATGTATTGGTGCACCTCTAGAAAATACTGACCAATCAACTCAGCTGTTTCAGTCATAGGATATCATTTTGAATCATTCTTAAGTGTAACCTCCCAGTTTAAGACTAAATTACTGATTCTGTCACCACAATCTGTCAAAAGTGCTAAGCAGAGATCTGGGTTTTTCCATTTACCATAGAAAACAGATTTTCTCCTTTAAAAGAGAAAACCACAGATACACACACACGCGCGCGCGCACACCCCCTCCTATAAATTTTAGTATCTGACTTTGGGTTTATCATGGAAAATCAGAGCTCCCCCTGCCCTTTTAGCTCACAGAGCCCAGGTCCAGGCCCCTCATTCCCAAGCCACAACCCCCCAGCCCTGCCAGTACTCCTCACTCTCCCCCACCCCCAAAAAAAAACCCTTCCCCCCCAGCCCTCCTGGAGGGGGTACCCAACTGCCAGAGCTACAGGGCCAGGGACCCGGGTCCACAGACCCCTGAGCCCCACAGCAGCACCCAAGACCTGGCTGCTGCAATGGAGCCTAACTGCCCCTGACCCCCTCCGCCTTTCTGCTGCAGGCTCAGGTAGGGGTGGGGCCAGCTCCCCACCACTGCATGCAATTCCAGTGGAGCAGGGGGGACCCGTGCTCAACAGATCTGTGTGCAGGGTGGGGGTAGGGGGCCCACTGTGGGCTCAGGCTCCCCATCCTGCTCCCTCCCCTGGGACCTCTGCAACCCAGCAGGTGCAATCCAATGCTGCAGGGCATAGCAGGGCCACGTGGGAAAACCCCTTGCCACTGAGAGCTCTGTGCTGCTCTGGTGAGGCATCCCTGCCTGCACAGCAGCAGTGAAGGGCAGAATCCTGTGCCAGTGCCTATGTGGCTGCTGTATGGGCAGAGGATGCCTTGCCAGGGCAGTGCAGAGCTCTCGGTGGCAAGGAACTTCGACACACAGCCTCACTGTCTACCAGTGCCAGGCACAGCCTGCTGGGCTGCGGAGGCCCCAAGAGAGGGCAGCAGGGTGGAGAGCCCAAGACCACACCCATTCCCACCCCATGCATAGATCTGGGGGACATGGGTCCCCCTCTGCCCCCCAGGGAGCATACACGGTGGTAGGGAGCTGGCCCCACCCCCCAGATGAACTTTTTGCAGCTCCAACCAACTTCCTCCTGGGGCCCTGAAGCCACCCATTCCGGCCCCCAAATCCTACACACCCCCTCCGGCTGGGCAGAAGCCCCAGCCCTGCCCAACTCCCTCCCTATGGGGGCCTCAATCCCACCCCCCACACTCACCTGCAGGAGCTGCTCTCCAGGCTGCCTGACGGCCATGTACATATATACATGCACATAGCACTCCCTGCCTGACTGCCCTCCTTCCGCTCCTCCAACCCCAGCCCCTTGCAGGCTGGAACTCTGCCAGCCTGAAGACAGCTCTTTGCAAAAATGCAAAATCCATGGATTTTTCCATTAAAATGAAAAATCTGAGTTTTCCTCCAGTAAAGGGGGAAATCAGTGTTTTTCTATGGCAAACTGAAAACATGGATCCCTGGTAAGGACTTGTACACAGACGAGTGTTTTAAACACTTTTTTCTATAAATATTTTGTTCCTAACATAACATACTTTGGTTTTAAGATTGCTGACTGCTATAAAGCGCTAGGTATATACTATTAAACAGAAGAATTGCAGATATTTATATCCAGTCAGACCTGCCAACTAAAAATAGTTCATACATAGGGGGTGTGTCTACACGTGCTATTAACGTGAATGGGTTTACTGCTTAGTTAAATACTGTGAACTTACTGCACACGGCAGTAAGCGTTCCCCAGGAACGCATCTACACATGCACCCTATTGGGAGCAAATCTCCTCCGATGCAGGGCTACTCCTGCCCTGCTCTGCCCCACTTCACCAGCCAGCTGCAGCTGTCTCCTGGCCCTGTGCACATTAGTAGGGGTTCTGATGTGCGTGGGGACAGGAGACAGACAGCTGTCACTGCAGCCAGCAGAGCTCTCCTGGCCCCTTGCACATCAGGATACACAGCTGCCAGCAAGCCCCATGCCCAGCAGGGCTTCCCCGCCCAGCAGGGGATCACTGGCAGCTCCCACTCCAGGAGCAGGACAGGCCTTGGCCAGTCTCCTGCTGGACAGGGAATCCCCACCTGGCAAGAGGCTTGCCAGCAGCTGCCCCACTAACACGACAGCTGCCAGCAAGCCCCTGGCGGAGCAGGAAAGTAGAGAGCTCCCCAGTCCTGGTGCTGCTTCGCTCCCAGCTCCTGTGGGGAGCCAGAAGCCAAGTAGCACTGGACAGAGTGGTGCAGAAAGCAACCCTGTCCCAGGACTAAAGGGCTCCCAGCTCCTGGGGGGGAGCCGGGAGCTGAGTAGCACCAGGACTGGGCACAGAGAACTCCCTGACCTCCTGTGGCTCCCTACTGGCGTGGCTGACCGGGAGCAAATTTGCTCCCAGTCAGCATCTACATGAGTGCTCCTGTACAGTAACTACTACATAGTTAAGCTAGTATGTGCATTTACACAGGCACTGGCTAACTGTGGAGTAGACTATTTTACTGCACCGTAAATGCCACACACGTGTAGATGGTGATGCTTTACTGCGCAATAGATTAGTCTATTGCTCAGTAAAATGTCTTGTGTAGACACACCCAGGGTGATGTAGTTCAGGGTCTGGTCCAAGAGTGAGAAAACTGAAATTCTGCTCTACACAAGAGCAAAAACCAGGAGTACTGCACCCAGAGAGGCAAACCGAGTGAAAGAGGTGCAACTAGTTCTATAACACTGGCAACCATGGTCAGAGGACAATTAATGAAAATAGCAATATTCTTAATTGAACCTCTAAAGTATAATTTACCACATACAATATATATAATGCAATTCTAAATAGTGAGGTAGGTATTGTTTTAAAGGTACATCAAAGGCCAAAGGGAAATGTTAGTTTGAACTGCATTTATTTTAAGAGGTTACACAGCTAAGACTGAGAGTGAGCGTAGTATGGATTCTTATTCTTTACCTTATTAAATGTTCTCATATTACATCCGACTAAAAGCTCTCTTTCTAAATAGCTAGTAGATACAACTTTGTGTCACATTTAGATAGCTTACACCACCTATTTGTAATTAAAGTCACTAAATTGGCAAAAAATTACGCAAACCACATGCAGTTCCTACAAAAGGAATCAAACACATTTTATTTCTCGTTAAAACTGCTCTTCCAAATTTGCCAATTACTGTTATTTTATCATTTTATGTTATTTATTAAGATGATGGTAACCTAAAACTAATTTCCTACAGTTGCAGGAATCACTTAAAAAGGTTACTAGTAGTAATTTTACATTTGACTACTCAAGACAAATAGTTAAGTGAAAAAATTATTGTCAACATTTTATTCTATAACCACAGAAAATAATTTTCATCAGACAGTTCTTACACAGCAATATAGCAGCTGTCAAAGGATTCAAACATTAAAGCAATTGCACTGCTCTCAGAAGG